TATCCAGGTTTGCTTTATTGTCATGTTGTACTTTACACACCTCCTCTGGATTGGGCTTGGCAGCCAGGTCCTCCAGGCAGCCTATGTTTGCCAGAACCGGAACAATGACCATACCCGTCTGTTGGAAAACAGAGATATTAGATGCCGTACCAACAAGGATGCACACAACTGGCTGTAATAACGCACAACACAGGTGACGTCTTTAAAAATGAAAGGACAGTAAAGTATATTGCCCATATATCACTTTTGGGTGGACTAACTTCTTCTAGTTGCCGGATTTTCAAACTGACCTTCCACCTTTCCCTTGCGTCACCTGGACCAAGTATGCAGATAAGGCCTTTGAGACATTCCTTCGACTCTCCTGGTGTTCATGTGTAATATGGATCAGAAATAAAAAAAAGGATGGAAGCCAGAGACAGTCAGGCAACTAGCATTTTCTGAAGGAGATCATTTATGGATGCCCTCAAACACAGCGCAGAAACTGGGGATTTACTGCTTCCACTGCAGCCTTCTCGCACTAGTGTTTTATTTATTGACCAAAAGTCTTAAAAGGAGAACTATGAGGCGAGTGACAAATCACTCAGCCTTATAGTTCTAGCCGACCTGTGACAATGAAACTGTCACACGCCGGTTCAATAGATCGGGGAGCGAACGCATACCGTCGCTCGCTCACTTCTCGATCTATCCCTGCAGAGAGCCATGCCTGTCACTCACGGCTCCCTGCAGGGATTCCACTGCTCCTCCAGCACTGACTGGTGGAACGAACGGGCACAGCTGGCTCTACCTCTGGATAGGCAGAGCCAGCTGTCAATCACACAGCTGGGTGGATCCAGATAGTAATGTCGGGATCCGTCCCGGCGTCTCAGTATACCGGGAGCTGTAGCTTGCGATATACCGAGCTTTGGGTGACGGGAGGACGCTAGTTTGTGTCCTCCTGTTACCCTTAGGAGAACTATGGGGAAAAGCCCTAACCCCATAGTTCTCCTTTAAAAGAACAAAAAAAGTCTAAAATAATGTCTGCTGTATGTTCACGACATTGCACACAATGCAGATCGTTGCAACAATGCCACCTCCATTCAAAGATCCCTTAACTGGAAACCTGAACATGTCTGCTGGCAAGTGATTTGTAACCTGTAGGGCAGGCACAGGCTCTGCAGCAACCCAAATGCACATAATACTATTTTGTAGCTTACTTATAGTTTTTACCTCCATTCCTTGTATCCCATTGCCCCTTTTAATGGCAAAGAGACATGCCAGAACTGCCCTGGTTGCAGAGTATGGGCAGGTTTGGAGGTACAATCCTGTCCCATTGTGGTCCCAGAGAAAGTGGCTATTCCCCATCTCCTGTGGCTATTCCCCATCTGCAGCCTGATGTAAGTAAAAGGATATCATAGACCCTATATGGCTACATGCCTATAGTTGGTAAATTACTTTTACTGACTATGGCTATGTGGTCATATAAAGGTATATGCCATCAGCACAAGCATCCCACCCCTTTGTTTACATGGTTGGGTGGAGGTGCCTGCAGCACTTCCTTGTGCGGAGAAACAACAAAGTGCCTTGTTCCAAGGAAATGTTCCAACATGAGCTTATCCGTAAGCAGATCAGTCTCCAAAGCATTTTGGAAGCCAACACACCCTGGCTTAGCGTTGCAGCTCCAGGTCTCTTCTCCACCTCTATTGCTCACTGGACAATAAATCATCATTGTCACCTTTCATAGTATTGCAAGAATCAGAGTGAGCTAGGCACTTCTTTAGGTCCCACACAAAGTTCTTACCCAATCAGTGATTGGCTTCATAGAACCCCAAACCATGCTGCGAGCCAGCGACACGCCAAGTTCTTCTTGTGCCTCCCTTAGGGCTGTGTCTATGATGTCTTTATCAGATGCATCGCACTTCCCTCCTGGGAAACTAAAAAAGGTCAGTTATAAAACACAAAACAAAATAATCAAATGAAATACTGTATAATGTATGCATATTATGCACTTCAATGTATCTGTACTGCCTAGACCTTAAGTCTAGAAAAGAATGACATGGAGGCAGCGGTGTATTTAACTTTGCTGCTGCCCTAGGCAAGGCAGCAACGCCCCCCCCCGACTAACCGGCCGATTCGTGG